AGATGCTTGCTATGTTCCAGACATGTACTAAGGACTGAAAATACAGAAATGCATAGTCTTTGCCAACAAAGAAGTGCACCTCATGGAGAAATACAGAAGATAATCCTTACTAGGGTACAATTTTTGCAAGGGCTGACATACTAACTCTTGTAGAAGCAGAGTCTCACTCAGTAGAGACTAGGGCAAGCTTCCATAACTGAAATATTTTTATTTGTCTTGACAATTGGTAGGGATCAAATGACTATGGAAAAATGTTACAAGAAGAGCAAATGACATGTGAAAAGGTATAGAAGCTTAAGAAACCCAATGCAGTGAGAACAGAAAGTCACAGTCTACAGCTGGAATGAAGGATGTGGGTGGGAGATGGTCACCCAGAAAGACAATGGAGAAGAGTCAGGACCCCAAAGGAGATTGTGTCCCAGGCCAGTGACTGCCCAGCAGCGTAACTACAATGAAGAAAGTGGACAAAACCTGAAGCAGGACTCTATCAGTGGTCAAGACCATTGATTTAGGGGAGTGCTATCTAATGGAAAGGTGGAAGCATAGAGATGTTGCCTCCCAAAGTGCATCAGAGTCAGCTAGAGAGCACTTCTAAAACACAGTGGGCTGTGGATGTAGTCAGTGGTGTAGTGCTTGCCTAGCATGCACAAGGCCCTGCCTGAGTTAAACCTCCAGTACCATAAAAAGATAAATAAGAAAAATAAGGTAAAATACAACTGGATGTGACTGAGACTACACACTTATAATCCCTGCATTTGGGAGACTGATACAGGAAAGTGACCATGAGCTTGGCGCCAGCCTGGGCTATACACATAATGAATTCAAGGCCAGCATGGGCTGCATAGTATGACCCATATAAGTGAGACCCTACAATAGAAAAAGAAAAAAATTAGAAATAAAATACAGATATATGCATATTACCCATACCAATTTCAAACTTTATGTTTTTCAAAGTTCTCCTGAATTCTTCTAATGCATCGACTCTGCTGATACACTTTAAGACCGTAATTTTGCCTCTAACTGTATGGCAAAGAAATAAAGGGAGTTTTGGTTGTGTCCATTCCAAGAAGTGGAATGTATGTCCATCTGAAAGCATGAAAAGATGGAATGACATATTTTGAAGGCCACAAAATTATATTATGTACTAACCATGACTGGCAACATCAGTATAATGCTTCATAAAGAAAAATGCTGATTTGTAAGTTTTTATCATTCACATTTGTGATAAGTGAGTTTACTTTTGCTTTATGGGTTTACTCCCTAGGGTAGATTAAGTATTACCTTTGAAATCTTTCTTAAACTGCTTTAGATTTTATCACCTGTTTATTTTCTTAAAGTCAGAGATTAACTTCAGCTCAGCCCATAATCAAAAAATCATAAATCTGAAATCAGTGCTCTCTGAACTAAGTTATATTTAACACAAAAATTATCAAAAACAAATAACCTAGAGAAAATTCTACTGGTAAAGAGATCAGATTATTTTGATTTTTACATAAATATTGTTTTAGGCTATACTTGTCTTTTAAATAAACATGGGGGTAGGATTTACCGGCTTTGAAAACTGCACCCCCTGCCCTTTTCTAGACAGAAAAGCCTCTCTTCTCAAGGCACAACTATGTTTTAATTCAATATAGTAATATGCTCCACAAGGATAGAAACTGTATTTGTATTGTTTGCTTTCTAGTTCCGACTCCTAGCTCAAGCCAAATCAAGATAAACAGTGGATAAGTTATCTGTTTATTAAGTCAGCATTAATCATTGTCCCTTATAAGCCTAGGAAGACTATGCCAATTTTATCTAAATTTATCCAAATACATAGACATCTACTTCAGCCAACTAAACATATGAAGAAACACTTATAAAGAATTTTTGTGGTGGCAGAGGATGGAACACAGGGCCATGAACACACTAGGTAAGCATTCTACTACCCCTAACCAGACACTGGTGTTTTTAAGTTTTGGGTTTTGTTTTGTTTTTTTAAGAAACTGCTATCTGTCAATCAAACCAACAATAAAGATTATCACTTGCTCTTAAGACTTGTGATACCCTCATTATTTGCTGATAATGTACACAAGTAAAACTTCCAAAGGAAGATTTCACCCTGGCCTTAAAATTAATGTTAGGACCCAGAAAATAGGATCAATTCTCATCCTCAAACCTCCCCCCTTAAAACTGACCTGACAGAGAATACAACTGCATTTAAGCTAATTTGATTTAAGCCAATAGATTCTTGAAAAAAAAGTTAAAATTCTGGCTCTAGTATAATAGTCATTGCTTAGATGGTTGTAATGAATGCTGATTTGCTAAGTTTCACTCTGGAATTAACAATACTGAGAGAGGCAAACATTTCCTTATCACATATTTTGAGCCAGCATCGTGCTAAACACTTTATCTAATCTCAGTAAACCTTATAATAACTGTCTGATGTTGGAGTTTTTAACAGGTCCCATTATACATGGGAACATGAAGAAACTGGTTTATGTAATCTGTCCATGTTTGCAAAACCATTAGGGGTAGTGGACTGGGGGTCAGCTGAGTCATAGAATGCTTATGTTTACTTAGTACCACTGAGAAAATTACATGGTCTTGAGAAAAAAAATCATTTAATGAAATATTTCCAGTTTTGAGAATCTGGTTGGATAAAAATCCCAAGCGCTCAGTCTTGCCAAGGACATTGTGTTTGCTCATGTACAAACAGAAAAAAAATGTTTACACATCCGTACAGCTTCAGTATTATGCAATTTGGAGCTAGTGTTTGAAAAGAAAGATATCATTACCTATGCATCCAAAGTTCAGGTCATATCCCTATGTGTAAGTCAGAAAGCCCTTCATTCTATTTGAACTCCCTTTGGAATCTATACTTCCATATAGTTCATAAAAGCAACGTGGTAAGTCCATACTGCCTAGAAAGTCAGCGTACTTCTAATCTGACTACTTTTTCCAAGCTACCTGAAACTGCAACAAATTTATCATCCAAGTTTCTCTCTGGTCCAGAAAAAGTAAACATACTGCTCATGGAAAAAGTCCTGTCAGGCATGAGTGAGCAGAAAAGTGAGTGATATGAATGAATGAATGAATGAATGAATGAATGGATGAATGGATGAATGAATGAATGAATGAATGAATAAAGAAGAAAAAAGAGAGCATAAAGCAGGACATTTGCAAACAAATCTATGTTTAGCAAGGGTGCTGCATGTTGATTTTAAACAGCATGCTCTGAGAGAGAGCATCATTTCTATGTTGACAGCCCTGAAATTAGGACCCAATACATAGAACTTTTTATTTAGTAAAATCATGTTTGCTTTTTCAGTTCATTGAGATCAAGCACAACATTTTGCAAATAAAAATGTCAGAAAACTCATGTATAATAACAGTGAGTGTACTGTGCTAGCCTTTCTATCCACCAGAGCAGCTGCCCTAGCTAACTTTTCATACTGCAGTGAGCACTATGCTGAGGCTTAATGAAGTCCTAGACTCCTGCCGGGCCTTTAATCCCAGCACTCGGGAGGCAGAGGCAGGCAGATCTCTGTGAGTTCAAGGCCAGCCTGGTCTACATAGTGAGTTCCGGGACAGCTGGGGCTAGAGGGAAACTCTGTCTCAAAAAGACCA